TATGGACACAGACTCGGGGGAGGGGCCGGCGCTCAGCTGGGCCATGCGCTGCTCACAGGAAGACATGCATGTGGGACGAGGCTCGGTCAGGCGTCTACGGGGACGGGGTCAGTTATAGACAACTGTACCCACGGGGGGCGGGGGGCGGGGGGCGGCTCAAATGGCTTCAGAAGGTTCTGGTTTTGTTGTCGCTTAAAAAATAAAGTATATTCATGTGTCTTCAAGTCTCAGCGTCCTCCTCCTCCATATGGCAGCCCAAAACCCAGGGGAGGACCTGTTTCCACCGGACGAGGGGCCCCCCCGGGAAACGCGGTCACAGAACCCACAGCCTGGCCAGTTAGACTCGAATGTCAGGGACACACAGCCAAGTACATTCAGTGGGTTGTGTCCCAAGTCGTGCCTGGGACGCCCCTACGTTTAACAGTTTCACTGTTCATGTCACGGGGCTCCGGGCCCCAAGATCCGGCCTGGGACACTTCCCTGCCTGCCCTCCCCCGGGGGTGGGGAGAGGGGGCCGGTGGAGGGGGACAGTTCTCAACCTCTGGGCTCCCCCGCGGGCACCCCACTGCCTCGAGGGTGGCTGCAACCCCCCTTCCCTGGCTTAAGCCCTGGGCCGGCCCCGCGCCCCGACGGATGCTGCGGGAGAGGGTGTGGGGCAGAGGGACCCCTGGAAGCTCACTTCCCTCTCATGCCCGGCACCTGCTCCCCCACCTCTGCTTCACCGCCCCGGGGCCCTGGCGGAGCTGGTCTCCCTTCCGGAAAGATCCCGAGGAGGAAGGAGAAAGCCCAGCCTCCTGGCCTCACCTGGGTTCGGGGTGGGGCTGTTTTCATGGTCTCAGACTCCCAGCCCCCACTGCCTCCTACGTGGGGCCTGCACCCCACTCCCCAAGGGCCCAGAAAGAACCCACGGGGCATCGAGGGCTCAGAACGTGCCCTGTGGCTTGGGTAACGCCCCCCCCACCCAGCGGAGAGAACTCCTACGCAGGCCAGACAGGCGCCTTCTGCGGGGAC